AAAATGAATTAGGAGCTACTCAAAATGTTGCTACGCTTATTGGCGTTGTGAGCATGCGCGCGGACGTAACCTGAACCCCGTCGACGTCGTTACCTGGAGAGAAAGGGGCATTTTACCGAGCGAACACGATACCCTGAGAGATCTGATCTTGCAAAGTATGTAATAGCTCTCTCTAATACCACGCGAGCGAGTCAGCACTTGGGCATTCCTTACTAAGGGTAGGCCTTAGCTAAGTTCATTCCCGGTAAAAGCAAGATTTTGGACTCGTTGGTGTGGCGTATTCCCTTTCCATGCTACAGTTTCTCTGATCAATATTGCATTGGACCTTCACGTTCCTATTGAGCTTTGGAACTGTTGAAGTCAGCAACGTCGACTTCGGATAACAAAATGGTTCTAGCGCGACTTCTTGTATTTTCGTTATGGTTTGCGAGCTTCTTCACGTCGCAAGGTTAGTAAAATACACAAGTGTCTATAAGGTATTTCTTGAGATTCTAAAAGCAATCGGGTTTATTAGGTAGCCGATAGCATCTGTGAGAAAAACACACACGCTCACCACCAAATGAAATGAACAGCAGCATTCACTGAATACAATGCTTGCTTGTTTGTTACAATTGTGTGTGTGTCACAACAGCTCACTTGTGCTGAGTTGTCGCGAGAAAAGTTCTTTCTCTCATCTTCTGTGAAGTAACTGTTAAGCTGAAGGGGTTAATTATATACTATTTTACTAAGAGACTCGCAGCTCGAAGATTCAAGTGTGAACAAAACGAAGGTGTCTGGAGATTCACACATTTATTTCAAGACACATCCGTCTGGCACAGGATCGGTTTGGGGCATAACTTAATTCTTTCTCTTCTTTCGTTCATATCTGAAACAACGCATTATTTCACTGCAGTTAAGCTTTTGAATTTTATTTTGAATGGATTTTTCTCTGAATTTAGTGATTTTCTATTTAAGGATCAAACATCCTCACTAACATTAACACAAGGTAACAATAAAGCGTTGATAAATATTTTTTCACACCTCTATATGAGAGTTAACTTCTTGATTTAAAAACTGAATAAAGAAGGAAAACATCGGAAAATACCGAACATTTTAAAATGCATTATCTTACTATATGTTTGGAAATTCAAGGCTTTGTTAAGCGCTGACCCAAGGTTTACGCGCGTCTCTGTTGGAAAGACAGAAGAGCTCTAAAGTCGTAATAAAATTGTCTACCAGATTAAGTTACCAACCTGGGCTTACGTGGGAAATCTTACCATGCTCTGGTCACTCCAAATGGATGTATTTCTTACCTATCGCTACAAAGGTCCTTTTGATAAAAACTTCTAGAATATTACCCCAATATCTAGCGTGGTAATCGAGTCGAGACATTACTTGAGGTAAAATAAGAAAATTGTGAAATACTCTGTGAAATATTTCTCAGAATGAATGGAATAATGCCTCGTTTGTGGAAATGGCGTGACACATGCATCATCAGAAAGATGTGAACGTTGCTATCTTTCTCTTAAGCGATTTGTGAGCAATAGTCGGTTACGACTGAAATATTTTCCTTTCTTTTTAGAATAAGCTGTCTTCTATTTATTTCTTGGATCTCTTAGATTCCAAGAATAATAGTTGGCGAAATCGTGGGTGAATTTCATCATTCGCTTTTGCAGTAACGACTTTTCAAGGGTTTCTCCCGTATGCTTAACGCGGCGTGATCTTCCACTTTGTTCGTTAGCTTGCAACCTTCATGGACGATAAACAGGCGCTGATGGATCCCTACATGCCACGATTTCCAAAAAATAGGAAACTTTCGGTAAAAAATGTTTTCTTTAGAACCGGATCTTTGGCTAAAACGATTGAAACATAACGAGCTTTCGACTGCCTGAATTGCAGTTTTAGACGGGTGAAATGTGAGTGACAAGAAGCGGAAATATTTTGAATAAAAATGCGTGGAATTGTGAAATAATAATGCAAATGGTTATGAATGTTTGTTCAAAAGAATGTTGTCCAGGTATTGGACACGAATTATTGTCTGCATTGGGAGTCAGTTTGGTATGCCACCTTAATCAATGATAGAAACGTTTTCAAAGTCAAGACCAGGCATGATTTGCAATCCTTGAGCCTTTGGTCGCTATTTTTCTGTTGTTGAAAGTTCTGCCCGTTTCTCCCATGTAGCACCACGAACAATAGGCACATAGAATTGTGTATACGATGTTTGTGTGCGAATCCTGCGAAGGTCGAAACTTCGAAATCGGGAACTGTTGTTGTGGGGTGATGACCGGTTTGTTTACAACTGTAACGTGATGTTTTTTGAGGACGCGTGTCAAGAGTTATGCCTTTCATCAAAGAAATAACCGAACCCTTGACACGCGAAATAAAAATACTATCCTCTAATAGACTTAGGACAACGACAGACTAGAAATTTACGATTTGGAGACCGAAAACCTTTTTCCATAAATACTTTCGTTACCCATTCATAAAGAAAAATTTGCTAACCTTTGACCCACTTTACTTAAAGCTGCGTGATTGGTAGTACAGTCTGTAATGCATAGCACTTTCCACTTATGACTTGCTTTGTTTTGACATGCTCGTGTTCCTTCAACAGCTGTGCCGATAGATGATGAAAGTGAAGAGGTGAGACTCGCTGATTTTAAATGATTTTGGAGAAACATCAGACAAACTCGGTTTTCATTTTTGCGCTGCTACCTCGA